ACACACACACACACACACACACATATATATATATATATATATATATATATATATATATATATATATATATATATATATAAGCAAGTTTAGTTAAATAATTTAGACTTATTATGTCTATTTATTTTAGTTTTAATCCTTTCAAGTCCACGAATTAATTTCTTGGTGGCTGAAGAAAATTGATTAAGAAACATTCCAAAATTTTCTTTCAAATAATTTTTATTTTCCCAAGTACTTTCAACCTTATCTGAGACCATCTTCAAGGGGTTAAAATATCTGTGGATGTGCATGCAATTGCTCTGTAAATTCAAAATATTTTTCACTGTTCGTTTGCAGCCTCTCAAAAAATCAAAATATACTAAATTAAAATATTATATTAAAAAATATTAAATAAAAATATTATAATTAATTTTGTTTTAATTAAAAAATACCAACCTAGAAAAAAGAAAGAAACATTTCGAATCTGAGACGCTCTATCTTTAAAAAGATAGACGTTTCTGTCTAAGCATTTTTTTTTTCTGGTTAATATAAATTACCTTTATAGTAAGGGTTGTTTTAAAAAAAAATTTCCCATGTCGACAATATCGTTAAATTCCCAGATCAATTCTGTGGACAAGATAGATTGGTATAAAACGACAATTGGAAAAAAATCTTATTTTATATCAATCTGTCTTGTCCACAGAATTGATCTGGGAATTTAACTAAATTGTCGACATGAAAAAAAAAAAAAAATTTAAAAATCCCTTACTATAAAGGTAATTTACATTAACCAGAATAAAAAGCTTAGACAGAAACGTCTATCTTTTTAAATTTGGATTTTTTAATGTAACTATAACAACATTTCGATTTCATTTTTGCCTTGAAAAAGTCGGAAGACGAAACGCGTCGGCAAAATCTAAGATTTTTTTTCCAGTTGTCATTTTTATACCATATATATATATATATATATATATATATATATATATATATATATATAGGGCACGAAAATTGATCTCTTCCCATTGACAATGAAATATTTCGATGTTATGATAATAGGAAGACTTACCCGACACCAGTGATTAAATATCTTGTGAGCAAATAGGAAATATCAGATTGCTAATATTGTATTCTGTTTCGTCAAAATTACATTTTGTTTCTTACTTACATGCGAGAAGTGAATTAATCATCTAGAGAAAAATCCTACGGTACTCATGCAGAAAAATATAAGTGAAATCACAAATTTACATACATATTACCAAATTTTGACAGTACTAATTGTGTCAGCTTTCTTTAGATATCTTACTTTCAGTGATTTAATATCAAGAAAACTTCATTGCATTTTACAATAGAGTTAATTTAATAGATACAAATTCGAAATTTACACATGCCGAATAAATAACCAATACGAAATTATTTAAATATTATCAAATTTTGACAGTACGTGTTGTGTTAGCTTTGTTTAGATACCTAACTTTCAATGATTTAATATCAAGAATTCTTTATTGCTGCTTCAAATTTTCTTCGTCAGGAAGAGATGATGAAGCATTCACTGCTATAGAGAAAGACTGGTACTACATAACAGTTCAGTACTCAAAGATATTTTTCCGTCTCTTAATACTTTACTCAGCTTCTGGAAGGCATCTTTCGCTATCCTAATGCGCCTTCGGATTCCCCTGTCGCACTTTCCATCCTCTGTTAATACACTTCTCAGATATTTAAATTATTGAACCTGTTTGATTTTGGTATTCCAATTTGTGATTTGCATGTTGAACTCTTCCTCTTGCAAACAACCATGCATTCAGTCTTCTTACATATAAAAAAAGAATGAGTCAAACCGAAGGTGTGTACCCCCCCCCCACATGGTGTGTGACCCTCGAGGGTGTGTGGCCCTAAGCTAGTGTTTCTCCACCTTTTTAAGCAACAGCACACCTCAGAGCCGAGTTCGAATTCCTGTCGAATCCATTGTATTCACTTATGTGCTAATACCCTTGGGAAAGGTATGAATCCTCTTCTTCTCTCCCCAGCTATGGGTAAATAACAGGACAGACCTGGTTCTATAGCCTTGGATGGCAACTGGTCTACTGCAGAAAGTGCTGTGTGTTAATACCCCTGGGAAAGTTATGAAACCTCTTCTTCTCCCCCCCCAGCTATGGGTAAATAGCAGGACAGACCGGATTCTATAGTCTTGAATGGCAAATGGTCTACCCAAAAAGAAATGGCAAACTACTGCGGGAAAAAATCTGCCACGTCAGTCATGTATCGAGAGATACATGATCGCTTAAGCGTGTATCACTCATGGCACATAACTGACTGTTGGAGTAATGGATAGCGTCTCGGATTGAGAAATCGGAGAGCCGAGTTCGAATTCCCGTCGAATCCATTACGTTCATTTACGTGCTAATACCGTTCTTCTAAATAGCAGGACAGACCGGGTCTTGGATGGCAACTGATCCACCGCAGAAACCTACTGCGGGAAAAAAAATCTGCCTCGCCAGTCATGTATCGAAAGATACATGGTCGCCTAAGAGCAAATAAAAATATCACGGCACACTTATCAAAATTTTTAAAGGGCATACATATAAATATCATGTAATAAAATCATGGAACGCCGGCTAGAAACATCACGGAGGTTGTGTACTTAAACATTCAGTAGATGTATTTTATGTCATAGATTAAAAAACATACACACAAATATGATCTTACTTTATTTCAATGTTTCTATTCAACTATTTGTGCAGCTTATTTGGCGTGAAACCCGTGCTTCGTGTTTTTTCGTGATTTGTTCAATGTTTGGTCGAATGTAAAAAAAAGCAGACACTCATTTCTTCAGTTGAGCATAGTTTTTCTCGCCTTTATTTTTTACTAGCAGGAGAGCCCGGCGTTGCCCGGGGATGTAACAGTAAGAGATAGATCAAGTATCGACCATCATAAAGACTGAAAAATAAAATTGACAAAGATTATTGTTTAAGGTTGACGGACACGCATGTCTTAATTAGTTTTTTTTTTTTTTTTACGAATTGGTCAAACCCAAACAAAAACATTGTTTTCAATCGTTATGAGTCTACCGATTGAATAGAATTTTATTATAAACAATTGTCTTGTAAATGGAATTTTTAAATCATTCTGAATGTAAAAATAAAGAAAAAAGTGTGCAAGAGAATAAGAAACACTACCTGCCAAAAAAAAGTGAAGTTTTGTTGAAATCGGTTGAAAAATGTAGGAAATCCGATCCCATATATAAACGAACATATACATATACACAAACAACCTGGGTTTTATAATAAGTATAATTCGATATGAGTTGTCCCTCTTTCATTCTGGCGACAGAATCGTGTTTTATCGTGTTTTCAAATTGATTTCATGCAAAAACAATTGTGTTTTTCCAATTTTTGGCGCTGTCAGAACCACCGCAAGCTAATTTTACGTAGTCCTGTGAAGCTTTGTTGAAATCGGTTGAAAAATGTAGGAAATCCGATCCAATATATAAACGTACACACACACACACACACAATCTGCGTTTTTATAATAAGTAAGATGCTATTTAGGGTTGAGAAGCCTTATTCACATAAATAAGAACTAGAAAATTGTAGTAAAACTGATAAAGCCTTTTTAGCTAGCTCCTTTTGTATTGAAATGCAAAATGTATCAATGGGTAACATCGGATGCTTTTAGATTGAGTCCTCGATCACTAGAAACAGCGAGCAATTAATCTTCTTCCGGGACGTAGAGATAAAAAAAAAAAATACTTAAATATTCTTCTTTTGCTGATAGATTTCTTTTACTCCTGTGGCAGTGGAGACTTCAGGGGTTATTGGCCTTCGTTCGATGGCGTTCCTTCGGAGGATTGGCGCGATTGCGTCTCGATTAAGGGAGGAGCCTCGCGAAACGGAGTGGCTCTTGCAGCGTGTCTCACTGGCGATGGTTCGAGGTAATGCTATCTCCATCATTGCGGCTGGCAGAGGATAGAAAAAATTGTTTATAGCTACTTTGTTCAAACTTGTGTTTTCAATAAATAAGATTCGCATAACTAATACTAATTCATTTATTCAAATACTAACGATGTACCATTACTACTCATACACACACACACACACACACACACACACACACACACACACACACACACACATATATATATATATATATATATATATATATATATATGTGTGTGTGTGTATGTATGTATGTATGTATGTCGTGAGTGACAATATTCGTGACACACTAAACTCGGTACATTAGTTTAGAATCACTGCTCTAAGCTATAGATTATTTTGCTTATTGGTAAGTCCGGCACTGAGTTTCCTTCTCCACGGTTAGATATTCAAAGTTTCCTACTCTTACACCAAGGCTAGAGACACCAAACTGGTAGCTAGCGGGAGAAGAGACGAATCCAGTCCCTTCGTAAGGGTATTTGTTCGAAAGCACGTCATTGAAGAATGCGTAAAAAGTACACCTACAGACGCAAACACACACTAATTCCGAGCAAGTTCTATTCACGTGAGATGGTCAGTCGCGGGACGAATGTTGACTTCTTTTCAGTGTAGCTGGGACTTGGCGCTTTCTCGTCTGAATTCTCCTCCTCTATCTCGGTCATTTAACGCCGCAGGTGTCCGACCTCCGAACTCTAGACCTGTCATCACCTCTCTCCACTTTATAATGAAAGTTCCCTTGACGTACTAACCCATATTCTAATGATACCGTCAAAGCGCTGGCTACAAAAAGAACAGCAACAAACCCCGTCGAACTCGTCTTGAATCGCAAGCAAACGAGGCGGTTCGTATATTAAAAGTTTGAAACTTTAAGATACACTCCACACTTTATTTGAACGTACCCAGTTTACTAAAAAAAACATGCCGGCAAAACAATGCATGCCGGGAAAAATGAGGCTTACGGCCATATCACGCCGAAACATCGATTCTCGTACGATCAACAAAGTTAAGCAACGTCGAGCCTAGTCAGTACCTTGATGGTGGACCGCTTATGGATAACAGGTACTGTCAGCTTGGGGGTGTGCGTGCAATGGCTTACGGCCATATCACGTTGAAACAGCGATTCTCGTACGATCAACAAAGTTAAGCAACGTCGAGCCTGGTCAGTACCTAAATGGGTGACCGGTTAAGAATAACAAGTACTGTTAGCTTGGGTGTGTGCGTGCTATGGCTTACGGCCATGTTACGTTGAAACATCAATTCTCGTACGATCACCGATGTTAAGCAACGTCGAGCCTGGTCAGTACCTAAAAGGGTGACCGGTCAAGAATAACAAATACTGTCAGCTTGGGTGTGTGCGTGCTATGTCTTACGGCCATGTCACGTTGAAACATCGATTCTCGTACGATTAACGAAGTTAAGCATCGTCGAGCCTGGTCAGTATCTAAATGGGTGACCGGTTAAGAATAACAAGTACTGTCAGCTTGGGTGGGTGCGTTGTATGACTTACGGCCATATCACGTTGAAACGCCGCTTCACCAAAGTTAAGCAACGTCGAACCTGGTCAATACCTAAATTGGTAACTACTTGGGACTACCAAGTGCTGTAAGCTTGGATGTACGTCTGATGTAATGGATAACGGCTAGGAATAAAGCGGAAATTAAAGGAAATTATTAAATTACGCCGGAACTCGTATTTTGTACAATTCTGCCTCTGTGTATTTGCCTACAGCAGAATGTCTTCCATTAGAGATTTCGGGGTTAGTAAGAGCGGAAGGTTTGTCATAAGAATGTCCGTTCTCTAATGTTTGTATAAGTTCATAGGACAAAGTATGTTGTCGAAAGTTCATAGGGGGGAGTATGTTAATCAAAATCATGTGCAAAGCAGCACATGATTTTGATTAACAGACACAGAATATGTTATTTTCAGATTGGTCTATCACATTCTGCTAACACAGACAGAGAGACAGACACACACACACACACACACATATATATATATATATATATATATGCAGGGTGGTTTGAAATTCTCGTCACCCCTACTTAAAAGTAATGAGAAAAATAGAAGAACAAGTAATAGAGAACACATGTACTGGATTCAGTTTATTCACTTTCATTGACGCTGTCACACATCTAGATTGTCCGTAGGAACATCATCATTTTCGTGTCAGCCATTAGAAATAGAAAATTATATTGTGTGTGGGGTGACAAGACTTTCGGACCACCCTGTATAGGGGAGGGGAATGTACGACAAAGTGTAAAAATGTATTCGTGTGGCGCGTTTCGTCTTTTAGGACTTCATTGTTATGTTGGAGCGACTACATCGTTACCTCTCCCCACCCATCTCTCACACACACACATATCTTGAGCGATGTCTTGATAAAATACATCTTTTCTTTTTATTTTCTTTTTCTTTTCCGCGTGTGGTTCACTCATTTTATTTTTGCATATATATATATATATATATATATATATATATATATATATATATATGTATATATGTATGTATATATATATGTATGTATATATATATGTATGTATATATATGTATGTATATATATATATATGTATGTATATGTATGTATTTATATATATGTATATATATATATATATATATATATATATTTATATATATATATATATATATATATATATATATATATATATATATATATATATATGTATGTATGTATATATATATATATATATATATATATATATATATATATATATATATATATATATATATATATATATAAGACGGGAGAATTCATATAACATAAAATAGGAGTTATTTTCATTCACCTTGTTTAGGCTCACAGCTATGGCCAAATAGTTGACCTCCTCCCAAAACTGGGTTCAAACACTATGAAAGTGTAAAAATAGGTTTTAATACCAGCAATATTTTTTTTTTGTAAAGAATTATTACCTGCAATACATTTTTGAAAAAAAAATATTAGCAGCAATAGATTTTTGAAAAAAATTATTACCAGCAATAAAAATCTTGTCGTCATTAAATAAACCCATTGAGGTGTTGATATGCCGTAAAACAAATCAAATCCAAACGAAATGCTGCCCCAGGTATGAAGTTTGGCTTGGAACCGCCTCTCCCCTGGGTTGGCCAACGGAATATGATACGTAAGATATTTTGAATACAATTGTTTTGTTTTTTCATGTGTAATGTAAATGATTGCAGATGTGTTTCTCATTCATCTAAATACATTTAAGGTTAAATGAGTTAAATGCATTTGCATTCATAATCTAAATCGTATAGAAAATAAACGAAGCAAGGAGCGTCGACTGAGTAAGTTAATTTCTTTACGAAACGAAATTTATTCATTTGTATCGATGTTCTGCGCGAAGTTAACTAACAATGTATTGACACAATTAAAATGTAGAATTAATTATAATTATGTTTGAAAATAGTAATTTTGCATTTTTTTTTACATTTTTATCTTCTTTATTTGCTAAATTTGAACTTACAATGTGTATCCCTATTCAGGTCGGTAAAATGGTCTCGTGCGCCCCGCCCCCGAATCTATGATATACCCCTCCCATTAATCTATGATACAGGAGCCCGACTCTGCTACAACTCAATTTCGATAAGGTAGTATTCATATTAAATACAAATTTTTACTGTAACCTAATTATGTACAATAATGGATCCTATGCAATATAGGTGAACAATTCAACTAGAAAATTAAAAAATAATTACGATGTATCTAAATATAAATTAGAGACATGTCATAATAGGCCATTCCATCTTAAATAAATCAACAATGTTTTGAGGTAATTTTTAACATCAACTTGAGATTTTTCTTGTTAAAATGTTGGATAATTTTAACACATTCAACATTAGGAATAAAAATTAGTGAATTTTATATGAGCAAAATAAAAATCACGGATTTGGACGAGAAAAAAAAACACACCAGAATGACTTCAAGATCGGCGAAAATTTTTCATCCTCTAGTCGTCTGTTGTGCTAAGCTTAATTTGTAATGTATATAAATGTAGGTATAAAGAAACAAATTTTGATAAGATAGAGAGTGTCACAAAGCACTACCCGGGGCCCAATCTGGCTTGACTATTGATTGGAGCGGGAGTTTGGTGGTAGTACGCGCCGGGCCCGTTTTCATTTTTTTTATAATGACATGACAGCAAGAAAAGATACTCTTACTTTTCAATCTATAATATTTATTTTTCAACAATGTTTTTTTTCTTTCCTCAAGCCATCCAGGTATTGTTCCCATTAAAAAAAAAAAATAATCTTCTATCGACAAAACTCAAAATCCTAACTTTTTTCCGTTCAATACGAAGAGCAGTCCTTATTGGAGGCATTTTGTATGCAAACATAGATTTCCTTAAGTGGCGTCTCTCCCTGAGTTAAAAATTATATAACAACGCGATATTTCGATTTCTGGCTCTTGAAGATTGTTCTACGGGTACAACATTTTATTATGGCCATTAAAACAGACATATTTCGTGGAAGTGGGAGGAAAAATGAGAATGAAGAAAGAAAAAGCATAATAATGTTATTTCGAAATATATTATTATCATCAGCATCAGATCGACTGCAGTCAGGATCATTTCGAACATGGCCCAGTGGATAAAAGTGTTGGTTAAAGTAATCCAGTGACTTGACCCAAAGGGTTGTGAGTTCAATACCTGGCCACAGCAGAGGTGAACATAAAACTTGGACAGTTGAGTTACTAAAGGGGAATAACTGAGATATGAACTGGAACAATCTGCCTAGGCGGAGTAAATAAATCGTTCGGTTCGAAATTCAGTGTGTATTACCTGAAGAAGGCCGGAGTGTACAGCCACCGAAAATAACAATAAATATGAGGACAACAGATCGAAAAGTGTAGTTACAATATCTCATCTCAATAGACAGAATTTCAATATATACTTTTAGTATTTGTCAGTGTATATACGTATAATCATTAAAACGCTTGAGAGTTTTGATACATTTTAGTAAATCTTACCAGTGAAATCACCCAGTGTGTGTGTGTGTATATATATATATATATATATATATATATATATATATATATAATGTTCGTCATTAGATGTCATTTGGGGTGTTTAGTTTTAGCTAAGCTCATTAAGTTCATATCTATCTATCTATCTATCTATCTATCTATCTATCTAATGTTCGTCATCTATCTATATTTCTATATATTTACACTATTTACATTGTTACTTTTAGTTATCTATCTATCTATCTATCTATCTATCTATCTATCTATCTATCTATCTATCTATCGATCGATCGATCTAAAGTATCCAACCAATTTGAATAGCTCAAGAAATTTTTGGACGGCCTTTATAAAACTTGGCTAACAATTAGAGAGGACCTTATTGCTTATGCATGTACAGATACTGTTTCATGATGTTACTAGGCAATCAGACGCCATTTTCATCATGGCGGTGTACCTGTCCACTGATAAAGACTTGTTAAGCTTTTTTAAAGTTATTTTTTTATTTTAATGCAAAAAATAACTTCGAGTTTTGGATCCCTGTAACTTCTGCCTTACTCCCAAATATAAAATCGCCATCGAAACAATGGAAACGAAATTAAGGAGAACGTTACAGTTAATAGACATCCCCTAAGTCTGTATACGTATACAGGTTATCAGAATGAGCGAAATTGTTTTCACACTTTCTTTCATTTTAGATACTCAAATGTTTTTTTTTTATTTTTTTTCAATTTTAATTTTTTTTAAAATATTTTAGAACTTTTTGTAATTTCTTTAAATATTTTAAATTTTAGAAATATTTAAAGTTCTTTAAATATTCCTAAAATACAAACTTTTAGAAATTTTTTTTTAATTTTTAAACATTTCAAATTTTATTTTATATTGTTGGAAGAAATTTAAATAAAAAAAATCATACACTTTCTTAAAGCAAATGCACTACTACGAATAAAATACTAACAGCTTTTATTCGCTGTCACTCGGCAGATGGTGTGCATATCAATTATTTGGTTTACTGCAATCGTATAACAGCGTATAGGGAAACAATAACCGAATCAAATTGAAGGACATTTTATTCCATAAAGAAATATATGAATTGAAAATTTGATAATTGAACCCAAGGCCGGGACATTAACACTCATATGACTAGAATATACGAGACAAAAAATTCAATATAAACACAAAACAATTATATAAAATTAGGACGAGAAGAGGAGAGTAAATGTTTCA